GAGGTCCAACGCCCCCCTCCCCCTGCCCTCACTCCAACCTTCTCTTATCAGAGACTTTCTTGTATTTAAAAACCAGGTCCCTGATAATCCTTTCTTATCTAAAACATCTCAGTTACCAAATAATTTCTTATCTCAATAGACCAAACCAGAGTTATCAAACCAAAGTACTAGAGTACTAGGTTTCTTTGCACCTGTATATGTATAACATGCTAAGACTTGCTGGCATCAAATTCATGGTAATGAAGGAAAATAAACATAGAGTCAGAGAAATAATGGGTAACAATTAAAATATAGTAGGGTAAACTATCGGTACCTCACTTTAGTAGATTTCTTGATGTCATTTCAAGTATTTGCACATATTTAGTCACCAAAGCAACCCTAAAATTAGGCTAGATAAGTTTATTATCAACACCATTTGAGAAATAAAGATATTGACACACAGAAATATAAAGAAAAACAAAGGAAACTGAAGCAAAGAAACTTTAAACAACTTGAAAAAATAAGTGAGGGTTCATATATCCTAGTTACTAGGCCTGTGCTTGGCCCCACAATTACAGTGTAATAATCAAATCCTGATATAAGATGACTCCCTCTGATAGTTGAGTTTTTTAAAAGTTCTTTATACAAATACAATAGAAGTAAATGACTAATTAGACTTCAAGGATAGTAAAAACTCTATTAATTCACTTAACCAACATGTGTTGAGAATCTGCCTTGTGGCTGGCACTGTTTTAGATTGGGGAGTTTAGCAGTGAATGAGGCCGAAAATGCCATTCTACCCTTAAAGCATACATTCTCTCTAGTTGGAGAAGAGATGACAAATGTGAATATAAATAAATATCTATATACTCTTGAGAAATAAATGTTACAGTAGAAATGGAAAGAAATGTGCTTGGTCTCTGAGCCAGTGGTTCTTTTATGGGAACCAGCGTCTTCAATTTCCAGGCACCTATGCTGTGCCGAACTTGGACTCAAAAGATTTGGGGACAGTACCATCACATCACCTATGCATGATCAAGAAAACAATCATTTTGGGGATACAAACGTCTTAGCCAAAATCACCAGTAAATCCAGCATAGAGCAAAACTGTGTAAACAGTAATGTAAAGACAGGCACAGAAACTGATTCATATGCAGAGAAAACTGAAGGATCACCAAATTCCAAGGAAACGTGGTTTCTTTGTCAGTCCCTACTTTTTATAGAGAATGCTCCTTTTAAATATTTTAGCTTCTCTGATGGATCTGAATTGGCTATGATCATTTTTGTAGATGGAGAAGAAATGAAATTCTAAAGGCATATAAACTCTAGAAAGACAGGCACTTTTCTGTCTTCTTGCTGTATCCCCAGCAATTAGGACGGTACGTGGCAAATGGTTGGCATTCAGCAAATCTTTGTTGAATAAAGAAATGAATAAAGAAAAGCTTGAATAAACTGCTGAATTTAAAGGGGAAAAATAAAGTAGAAAGGAATCTTTTCTTTCTACTTGTTTTTACATCAAAATTCACGTTGCCAGGTGAAACCTAATAAAAATGTTGGGAGAAGATTTTCTTCCTGGGGGTGCAACTCTTGTCTAATACACTCTCTCTGGTGTCACAGTTAAGTTCTTGTTGATCATTCATTACATTGACTAAGCACTAACAGATTTTTATCTTAGATTCCTACAGATTTTATGGGGTCTACATTTCTCACCCATTCTTCAAACCCTTTGTTGGGGAGCACTGCCAACCTGAAAAGTTAAACAAACAAACAAAAAGAAAAACAAAATAATTGACAGACTGGTAGCCCCAAAAGATGACTTCTTTTGACTGCCTTGTCAATCTGTCTAATTTTCTAAGATCCACGTCTAAGATTCTAGCCTGACTTAAACTTGTATCAGTTCATTTACCTTTATCAGTTTTGACCTCATGCTCAGGGCTGGCCTTTTTTCCATCACCATCATTTTATCTGTCATAGTTATTGAGTACCTATGGATGAAAACTAGTAAAGAGATAAAAATGAGAAATGAAGAAGGAATTGAATGGGATACAGCTGTTCCCAAACTAAGGCCCTTTTCAGAAAGTATTTAATGAGAAAACAGAAGCCTCACGCTTTTACAGCATAGAATCTAGACTGGACTTTAGAGGCTACTGTCACTCAGCCTGATCAGCATGAATCTATCCTGTATCAAGTGTTCCTTGAGATCTCTGAATCTAAAACATTTTAAAGTTTGTATAAGTTATTCTAAAGTGAGAAAATAAATAGAATAGAATACATTCTATTAGGTTAGTACCAAAGTAATCATGGTTTTTGCCACTACTTTCAATGGCAAAAACTTACTTTTGCATCAAGCTAATAGTAGAACGTCACAGAGAGATAAAATAAATCTTTCTCATCTCGCCTTTTGGTGACATCACACTTGAAAAATAGGTATGAGGAGGAGCCCAAAGGAGGAATTTCAATTAGGCTAATCTACTCACAAGTAGAATGTCTTCCAGGATTCAAGAGCTTTTGGCAAACATTAGTTAGCACATTCTTTCTAAAAGGTAAAAACCTTTTTTTCCTTTGGCAGGTTTTAAATGACACTTGAGAGTGAAACCTTCCAAACCATAGCCAAAAGCAGCTTAATCCAACTTCCCCAGCAGCTCAAGATCAATGACAAAGTTAGCCCTAAGGATTTCAGGATGTTAATTGTGAAACATAATTCCATTATATTTATGGCTGTATAAACTGGGCAGAGCTCCTCTTGAGTATTATGAGGTGTTCTTTGCAGTGCGGGCAATTGGTTATACTGGATGCTGTAACAGATACTGTATTGAAAAGAGCCACAGTTTAATCACAACCTATTCATTAGGACTGTGGTTCTCAATCTTTATGGGACATAAAAATTAACCAGAGCATACTTGTAGAAAATGTAGATTTCTGGTCCTCTCCCCAAGCCTTTCTATTCAGGTTCCATGTAGAGGAGACTGGGAACCAGGAAGGCCAGTGAGGAAGATACAAGTGATCTGTAAACTACACATTGAGAAATATTTCACTGAAGTCTGGCTTGAGCTCCTCGAAGTCAGGTCTCTCTCTTTGTAAACCTTAATTCCCTGCGCCTACCACTGAGAGTGGAACCTGATAGATACTCAATGAATATTTAGTGAATTCAAAACAATTAGCACTTATAGATGCCAGGCACTGTTCTAAGCACCCTACACATACTAGCTCATTTAGTCCTCATAATAAAGGACTATTATTGGCCTTGACACTTGCTGAACACTCTGCCTGCACACTGTCCAGAGAGTCATATGGCTGGCATCTTTCAGCTGCCACCTCCTCAGCAAAACCCTTCTTGACAGCCCATCTAAAGTTGCATCAATGCTACTCCCAACCCATCACAAGATCCTGTTCCTTTTGTTTCTTTTTTAAGCAGTTACCTCTATCTGAAATTATCTTGTTTGGTTTATTGTCTTGCTCCCTTCACTAAAATACAAGCTCCATGAGAGCAGGAATCTCACCAGTCTTATTTGTCACTGTCTAGAAGTACAGTGCCTGAATCACCATGGACAGGAAGAAAATATTTGTTAAATTAATGCATTTAGCAAACACATAACAAATGAAAAGCAAGGGAGTTGTATTTGCTATGTAATTTATCAGTTCTCTCAGAGCTTCTAAAATGTATGATAAGAGTAAAAAGTAACAGAAAGACTTCTATCCCAGAAATATCCTCAAAACGATTTCCTAATCTACCCTGTCCCAAGTCATAGCATAAACATGAGAAAAAGGGAAAACTACATAAGGGCTAAAATATCTGGGTAGATTTTTCATTCTGTGATTCAATATTTTGCTTGAAATGAACTCTCAGGATGTCAGACACATCCGTGTTCAAACATAAGTAAAAAACACATTCCAAGATCAAATGTACATGATTTTCAGATTAACCAATGTTTTTTTTAGCCACACAATGACTCTGCTTTACTAGTTTGAAAAGCTGTATCTACATGACACCAAAAGAGCTAGTTAAATCAATAAAACCCAAACCAGTTGTTTCAACCGTAAAAAGAATACATAGAACAATTCACTTCAAATGGTGACTGTGCCAAACTAGTTGACTGTATTGCTTTGTGCCAACAAAATCATCGTCAGGAGCTGACTGGCTGTAGGCTTAGGAGAGAACATTTTAAATAGGTTTCTCCTACAGTATGATCATGGTTCCTTTAAAAGGGGCCACTTGGCTAACCAAACCCCTGTAGTATTTCTACCATAGACAATCAGATCACTCTCTTCCTCTTCTTTATATATGTTGTTGAGTCTCAGGCAAATGAAAGTAAGGCCTAGGAATTGCTACTGTATGAAGCAATTTTTACCACTTCTACTAAAATGTTAGACAGTGAATGTTGTCAGTGATGTTGCTGGAGAGAAAACACTCAAAATCAAATAGAGACTCAAAAAAAAAAGTTTTCCTTGTTTTATTTTGAGAAAGTCTTTTCACTGTGCTCATGTAGGGAGTTGGCCAGACCTGGGTTGGCTTCATTAGTCATCTCAGAGCATGTGAATAGATCATGGAAAAATCTTTCCATCTTTGAGGAATTCCTGGTCTCCAATTGTGTTCATTTCAGTCAGTCATTGAGACTTAGCATAAAACTTGAAAGTACCAAAATAAATGGAGAAAAAGAGGCGGAGGGAGGGGTACAAACAGTGAGGTGGCTCTACCAGGCAAAGAAAAGATCCTTTCTTTGCAAAGAACTTCAGCTAGAAAGAATTTTGCTGCCCCCTCTCCCATAGAAAAATATTAAATATTTAGTCAGAATATTTTAAAAGATAGGAATTTTTTTATTCTAAAAATGTCCAAGGGCAATCTAGTCAAGAATGAACATAAATTCTACATTCACAACCCAAACCCTCAAAACCATTTGAGTTAACTCAAAGCCAGGTTTAGCACGTTTTGCTTACCATTTTCTAAGCTAAGCATGATTTGGATTATAAATTTCTCTGACATTCATGTGTAGACCTGACAGACTTTGTCATCTCCTTATCAGAGGCAACAGGAGAAATTCTAACTATGAAGACTCACAGAGATTTATTGCCTCCATTCCCAGCCTGACATTTGGCTCAGCACAGAGGGCAGGCAGCCAAAAAGAAGTCCTCTACTAAGGTATGAAGGGAATTGGCTGCTTGTAAAGTCCAGACTTGGGAGTGACACAAACAGGGCTTTTACACAGCCAGCAAAGCCTCGTCTGTTTGAAGTCAGATCAATTGATTTCTTGAACATTTCAAATAAGCAAAATTCTGCAGAAAATGGGAGCCAGATGAATTTTTAACTCAGGAGTTCCTTGGAAGAGAGGTAGAAAATAGTCAAAGAACATCTTCTATTTCACATTTGCTCTCCCAATAGACTTACTCTCCAGAACTATACCCACATGACACGTATATAGAAACAATGATTGAATAAACTTAGGGAAGGGTAGAATTTTTCTTATTGAAATAAAAAAGCAAACACTATATGTCTGATATAAATATATAGCAAATTTCTCTTAAAGTACTACACTGATTCTGAAGGAGCTCCAAAACACTTAGCATCTATTGTGGACCTGGCACTGTGTTGGCAATTTTTGCAAACCTCAGAGGTTAGTTATTATTTTCATGGTACACCTAAAGAAACTGAGGTTTATGGTGATTCTGTAACTTGGCAGAGGACACAATGATTGTACATGAAGAGACTGAGATTGACTCCTTAAAGGAGTCCCCAGCTGATTCTCGGAGTTGAAATGGAAATGGAAAGAATCAGATTTCTAAGACTAAGTTTCTTCTCTACTGGCTATTGCTAGTTTGCACCTCCTTGCACATGGTACAGGAATAAATTGGCAGCCTGTGTTGAAGCTGTAACTACTAGGTCAGGAGTAGTCAGGCAGTTGTGTGCATGTCAGGTTCGCTACCTCCCCAAGCAGGAGCAGCCTATGCACAAATTTCCCCAGGAACATTAAGGGGGCAAAAATGGAGTCCCCTCTCTCCAATACTCTCTGGCTTTAGATATATAGAGAAAACATGTGGAACTTGAAAAGAAGAAAACAGACACCCTCTCATACCTAGTTGTTATCTTGTTAACACCTTGTTCTTTGTACTTGTGACTTTCACAGAAGACGAAATACTTATTTTCTCTTAATTTCACATATGCTGCTCAGAAGCCCCCAGGTTTCGTGGAATTTTTATTAAGAATTCCAGCTATTCCAGCAATAAATTTTAGACACCACAGCTTTGGCTGACAGAGAGGCGATACATACCGTGTTTGGTACAACTGACCTCTAGGGATTTTTCTCTCTGCTTTCTTCTGCTTTTTCTTCTAGTGAAACTGTCCCGTTATTGGTTTTTATTAATACGATCATATTTTCCCTTCTCAGAAATCTCATTTTTGAGATAAGGAAATAATAAAAATGGTAATAGATAGTCATCGCTGGTATTTCGTTGGCTGTCCTCTGCTCTTGCATTGGAACTGACTGCTCTGTTTCTTGAGCACTTTGATACCAGCAAAGAAAATCACACACATTTTAGCATGGGATTTTTAATGTGTATCTATGTTAATCCGGCCCACTCCTGACATTTGTCATGCTTTGGGCGAAAGTACAAATAAAGGTCCAGATACCATACTCAAATACTTAAAAGTTATCAGTTGAGTTAACAAACTGCTAAAAAAATGTTCTATCCTTCTGCCTTGGCAATATACCTTCATATCAAGCTGGGAGGTAAAGTTCAAATTTTCAGACTCTTTGGAGTTCTAAATGCGAAGATGCAGGGAGACCAGCCTGCTGCTGGGTTCTTTTGTTCCCACCCTCAACTCTGCTATGGACCACAACAGATTTCACGGCAAAACTCTATTCACACAGCAAAACTCTATCCACAACCTCCAGCAAACAGCTGTTCCCTAGCCCCATGTTGGTCCTAGGCTTGCATCCCAGTGATACAGTGTATGTCAAGAGGCAGGACCCTGAACAAAAGCCTGTGCAGACACTGGAAAGGGCTTGAGATCATCTGCACAGAGAATCCAGGATCCTGGGCATCCAGAGCATGGTCTAGGAGCGTGGGCTCTGCATACCACAATCCTTTGGCTTCTCACCCCATGGCAGCTGAGGGAGACATGGCTGGAGGACAGTCAGACCAAAGGCCCCTCTTGGCCCAACCTGGGTAGTACTTGGAGTTAATGTCCCCTTTGTTGTCACGGATAAGTGGGAATCAACCTCTTTAACTGCACACTTTTCATTCATACCTTCTAGGTGGCAGAGAAAGGTATTTCAAAAGAGATTTGTAACTAGAAATTCAAGATGCCTAGCTTCATAAGGCAAATTATCTGCACCTTGGTATCACTGAGGATTATGCAACTTGCTCTTTGAATTGCAACTGCAATCATCTGATTTCCTACCCCAGTTTCCAATGGTCCAAAGCCAACGAAGAAGCAGAACCTGTTACATATTCCAAAGGAGACATCGTAACAATGAATTATTATCTAACATAGAAATAACTTTAATTAAGAGAAGAGAATACAAGCACATATTTCATTGTCATAAATTTCTTTAGAAGACAAAATAAGCAGAAGTCAAAGAAATGTACTCTGGGAGATGAGAGGGAGAGATGGGTTCCTTGGGTTTACATTTGTTCTAAGTAAGATAGGCTGTGCACCTCCTGCCTGTCTAAACCTCTGAATCCACTCCTGCCTCTACCAGTAATGATAGCAATAATAATAACGGTTAATACCTACATCGCACTTACTTCATGCCAGACATCATTCTAAACACTTTACATGCATATACTTATTTAATCTGCATTAAAGTCCTGTGAGGTAGGTACTATTATTATCCTCATTTTCTAGAAAAGGAAAATGAGGCACAAAAACATTTTTGGAAAAAAAACAAACTTTACCTGAAGTAACGCAGGTAATAGGGTTCAGGGCTGGGATTTTAACCCGGGCAGTGTGGCTCTAGAATCCATCCACCCAGGATCATGTTTTACTTCTTGAGGTGGTCTACCACCCAAGGACTAGCCAGCTCAGCCAATTGGTCACCATCTACTCTGCAGTGATTCCCCAAGTAACCATGCATTTGACCCCAGTAGTTAGAGGCCTCACCTAGGAAAACTGTCCCTTTGGCTGACCTGGGATATCTTGCTTTCATATGGGGTGATCTACCACCTAAGGACCAGCCAGCTCAGTCAATTGGTCACTATCTACTCTGCCAGGCTTCCCCAAGTAACCATGCATTTGACTCCAGTAATTGGAGACTTGACCTAGAAGAACTGTCTCTTTGGCTGACCCAGGATTTCTTGCTTTCTCTGTGGTAAGAACAGCCTCCACCTTCTCAGGCCCAGGGACCATCACCCACCAGAAGCCTGGAAAACCATATCACCCCCAAATTCTGTCAACACCTAACTGAACTTTTTAAACAGAAGCTTTGTGCATGAGAATTTTCTTATCTTCTTGTCTTAAGGTTCACAAAACATTAGAGATTGTGCTTATTTTTGTTTCCAATTTATACTAGAGTTCTCTGCATGTAAGAGGTATCCAGAGATTTTTTAATAAATAAAGTTCTTCTTGTTCTTCAATAAGTCTGAATTTTAATCTGGCAGCTCAATGAATATAAAGAGTAGAACAACATTTGTATAAAATTGCAAATTCAATTGTGAGTTGCATGAATATGAAAAAGTATGTATGTGCCCCTGTACATACATGTGTGTGCGTGTACATCATGATCTATTCAATATTCAAAGTTTCCATTCAAACAGGTAGTATGTTGTTAGTAGTTAAGTGCTTAGAACCTGGGGGTAGATTCCTTGCGCTCAAATTCCAGTCCTGTTACTTACCGACTGTAGGACTTTTGACATGCTATTTAAAACCTCTGTGCCTCGAATTCCACATAGATAAGTAAGAATAATTATAGTAGTAGCTTTCAGTCAGGCAGATTTTTCTTTTTTCTTGAGACGGAGTCTCTCTCTGTCGCCCAGGCTGGAGTGCAGTGGTGAGATCTTGGCTCACTGCAACCTCTGCAGTCAGGCAGATTTTTCTAAGAATTAAGTGTGACATAATATAGGTGCTTAAATCAATTAAGCAATGTAAAGCGCTTTTAACAGTGTCTGGCCAATAGTAAGTTCTCCATAAATGTTAGCTATCATGTCAAACCATCCCATAATTCAAGTATAAATATGGTACCATTCAATACATAAAATAGTTGCATTTTTTAAGGGAATTAATGAAGTAGTTAACCATACTTTCTCCTTATGGTTATTAAGAGAACAGTTATTAATAATAATAGTTAACAGAAAAAACATAACAAAGAGGATACAAGGAATAACAGAATATAATACATGCTGCATTGGCCACCAAGTGTAGGCAATGCAACAAGTTACATTATGAAATGGCTCACAGAGACATGGTCTTGGCTATCAAAATTAGCAGCTGATTCAGTATTCTGCTCTGTCTTAGAGGAAGCTTCATCCTTCTCAGAATAACAGGAAGCACAGACTTCAATCTTAGCTCCAGTATGGTACAACTGCTCAAACTCACACCAACCAACAGCAAGAGAATGAACTTCACAATCCCCAGCCAACATCCCATCCATTCAGCTAAGGGTATCTAGTAGAACAGGGAATACAATGAAAATCCACAATCATGTCATTTTTTGTTTACACTCTCTACAATGAAGCCAGAGGGAATTACAGCAAGACTGCTGTATCCAAGATGTTTCAAAGCATATGCACCAGTCTAATCCTTTTTGGAGGCCAAATTCCTTCTTTTGTGATATTAACATTTGCTGTACAAACCCCTCCCAAATTCGTCCCCAGGCCTTCTTCAAGGTAAAGCTTGGAACAACTTACACTACATCTAGTTTTAGTTTGCGTCATTAGGATGTGGTATTTTCTCAATATCATTTGCATAAGTCACGGATCCCTGTAACCAGAGTAATCCTCTATTGGTCCTTGAACTCCTTTTGGTCAAATCTATGTTCTTGGCACCCAACCTAAGAATGTTAACATTTCATGGTTGCTAGATGTTTTTAATACCATTCTCTTCTCTAACACAACAGATTTCTCTTCTGATGCCTAATCAAAATTATTTAAATTACATTCCAATTTCAGAAAAGTGTTCTAAACACCATTCAATGCAACACAAAGTGGTTGTGACCACAGGTATTTTCTTTCTTAGGCTAATATGTAGTATTTATATATCAAATGTTAGCTCAACAAACCCAAGAGATATTACTTCTTTTAAAGACAATTTTGTTCATAGATGTGCCTAAAAAGAGCTGGCTGGTAAAAAGAATATGAATATCCTATTGGATCCTGGAACCACAGTAATGGCAAGAATACAAAGGCTATATACTGTATATTAGTCAAGCTACCCTTTGTTGAGTTTCTGCTAATTGTCAGGCCTCAGCATTTGTTACCAAATATGATCCCCATAGGAATTATTATTCCTATTTTTCATGCTAAGATATGGCTGTGTATTCCCTAAGATTACACAGCTGATCAGTGGCAAAACCAGAATCCAAATCCAGGTGGCTAGGATTCTGCAGCCCATAGGCTCTTTCTACCTTGCAGGCCACCTTACAGCACATGTTCCCCAATCACTGAGGCATACTTGGGAAAGAAGAACTGAGACTTAACAGCTCACTCAATCCATGCTTAAGGTTGGGAAGCAAATTATCACTACAATTATCTGGGAAAGGAAAAGTAAACTTTTATATTCCTGCCTCATTAATATAATCCTTTAACAATACTTCATTTTCCCCTAGTGTTTTGTTTGAGAAAGAATATAATAGACCTCAAGGGAAAATATGACACTATTAAAATTAATATTCACCATAATAATTGGACTTGACTCTCAGAAGCCAGTACTACTGACAGTTAAAGTTGATGTCCTGGCCGGTGCAGTGGCTCACGCTTGTAATCCCAGCGCTTTGAGAGGCCGAGGCCAGTGCATCACCTGAGGTCAGGAATTCGAGACCAGCCTGACCAACATGGAGAAACCCCATCTCTACTAAAAATGCAAAATTAGCCAAGTGTGGTGGCAGGCACCTGTAATCTCAGCTACTTGGGAGTCTGAGGCAGAATTGCTTGAACTCATGAGGCAGAGGTTACAGTGAGCCAAGATTGTGCCATTGCACTCCAGCCTGGGCAACAAGAGCAAAACTCCGTCTCAAAAAAAAAAAAAAAAATTATGTCCTCCAGAGGAGGGGGACTCTCTTATGATATTGCATCACAAATTTGTGTAAAGCATTAACTCTTTTCGGTTCCTTCAGATATGTTTTTGCATTCTACCTTAACAATAATAAGTGTAGTACCGTAACACCTTCAAAGAGATGGTGCCTCTTCCAAGCCTGAAATATTCTGTGGTTCATCTTTTCCCTGTGGGTTTGATTCTGCAGCTCAGAAGGTGACACTTTTTACAATACAACTTCATTCATTTTAGAGCTTGCTTTCTCTGATGATTTGGGATCTCACCTATTTTGCCACCATTTATTAATCTTAGAGCTCCTCAGACACAAGGTTTTCATTTAATATTTAACTTTGGCACAGAGACATTTTTAAGTTTCTCCAGCCCAAGGCTTGGAAAAGAGCTAAGGAAATGTAGCCAGGAGAACTCTACAATAATATTTTTAAAACCTCATATGTCCAGATTTAAAAATACATACATTTATCTTTTCTTCAGGAACAGCAATAACTCTAAGCTGACAAGATTTTTATTAATATGCTGGGTAACAGCTGGTGGACCCAACATGTTTTTTTGGAAAAAGAAAGAAACCTCAAATACCTTTCATTTACCCGTGATGACCTGGCTCAGTCCTTGAGAGGATTAGGAGCATTTCTTTCATAAAGTCACATTTCATTAGGATGAATGTTTTGCTGCAACCCAACTATATTGTAGCCCATCAGCCTTTCAGTTGATTACCGAAAAGTGGATCAACCTATAAGGCATCCTGCCACTGAACCTCTGAGTCTTAACATGCAGCAAGGTATAGAGGTGTAAGACAAAGCAAATGCCCCAAAATAAAGAAGTGAGAAGTAAAAATAATACTAATGACAATAAAGTCATATTTTTCAGAATGAGTTGGCATGAGAAACTAATACTAGAAGAATTATATCAATTTCTTGGGCCTGGAACAAGAATATTGCCCCATTCTCCTGTTGAATGTGGTATAAGGAGATTGTCACAAACAGTAAAACACAATGGAAGCTTGTCTGCATAAAAGTAACATTTGATTGAGATCAATACATAACTAATCCCATTTCAAATCCAAAATAAAATCAAAATTGATGACATTAAGGCAAATTATTAGCAGAGTTGTCCAGGCAAAATAAACATTCCTTTTAGTCAGAAGGGGCCTACATTCCTGGATAAGGGACTCCCATTAACTCAAACTCTTGCAAGTTAAGGAATACTGAAAGACATTTTCTTTTTTGCACAGTTGTTCCTACAATCAAGCTCCAAATCATCTGGTCTGATTGTACATGTACTAGAAGGATCACATGGGACTCACAGTCTGTAATCTGCTGATGACCAAATAGGACCGTCAGATGGTATGGGCTATTGCACACTAAGAGCTGACATTTATGAATCACTAGCTACCAGATACTTTTCAGAGCACTGTATATGGAGAAATTTCATTTACCCTTAACAGCACCCAAGTGTAATATGTATTACTAGATGTCACCATTTTATAGGTGAAGAACATGGAGTAAGTGACTTGACCAAGGTCACATAGACCATGAGGGGCAGACCTGAAGCTTAAGGATCTGCTTTAGATCTCATACACATAACTCTCCTGCTATGCTGGCTCTCATACACTTGCCGTCTTACCAGTCAGAATTCTCAGTAAACAGCTTTCTGAGTACCTGATAGAAAATGTTAGTGCAGAGTCAGGTTGGTGCAGTCCTTGGACACCACCCTCACCCTTCTTATTGTCCCCAGTCTCTAACTCTACCAGAGGTCTTCCTCCCTGAGAGGCTATACTCTCAAAAACTCTCCATCTGGCCAGCCCTTCATTCCAATTGGTACCTTCTTATTGGGACAATGATCTCCATTAGAGAATAGGTAAAGGTTAATCTTATCAAAGTTATTCACACGCATGTGAATTCTAAGTTATTCATGTGTGTGAATGACTTCATAGGATAACTCTATCAGAGAATACTTGTATTTCAGAAGAGGGTTTTGTTAACCCAAATGAATCATACAAGAAAGGATTTTGTTGTTATTTGGTTGCTTTTGTGGTGCCTGTGTTATAAGGAGCACAGCATTTGGAGTCAGAAAGAAACTGAAATCCTAGCTCTGTCAATATCAGGTATGTAAAATTGTGCAAGTAACTCAATATTCTGAATCTCTGGTTCCTCATCTTGTTTTTAAGTTGACAACTCTTCATAGGAGTGTTGTCACAATTAAATAAGATGATGTATGTCTGGCACCAAAGACACTGCCTGGCATATGAAGGGCATCTAATAAATGTCAGTCCTTATCCTATCCTCCAACCATTTCCCGAAGGACAAGCGCCATAATTTTACCAGGAATATTGGATTAAGAAGGTTTCTAGTTGTTGATAAGGGCAGACATTCTGCTATCTTCTTCCTTGGTAGCCTGCCAACTATTCATGTGCTCCTTGGAAAAGGAAACTTTTCCAAAAAGCAGGGACCTCAGAGGGCTGGTGAGACAGTGTCCTGTCACTAAAGCTTCACTAGAGATTGGCATTCACAATATTAGCATCATGTTGCTATATGCTATAAAAGAGACAAAGTACTATCTTTTCCTTACCCATTGTAAGTTTCACTGGGACCCCTGTAACAAAAGACAGATTGGGCCAGGTGCGATGGCTCACACCTGTAATCCCAGCACTTTGGGAGGCCAAGGCAGGTGGATCATGAGGTCAGGAGATCGAGACCAGCCTGGCCAACATGGTGAAACCCTGTCTCTACTAAAAATACAAAAATTAGCTGAGTGTAGGGGTATGCACCTGTAGTCCCAGCTACTCGGGAGGCTGAGGCAGGAGAATTGCTTGAACCCGGGAGGCGGAGGTTGCAGTGAGCCAAAATGGCGCCATCGTACTCCAACCCGGGCGACAGAGTTAGACTCTCTCCAAAAAAAAAAAAAAAAAAAATTACAAAAGACAGATTGACAAGAGAAAATCATACAATTTCTTGTTTTGATTCAAGCTTCCACAGACAAATTTGTTTAATATAAGTTATATGTGACATGGGAGCCTTCAGAAATGAAGGCCCAAAGACCCAGGACAAACTTTTTTATGAACAGCTATGCAGAAGTAAGATTAGAGAACAAAAGGGTATGGTCTAGTGGTAATTAACTGGGGGTAAATGGGAACTTAGCAAGGTCTGTTTGTTCAGATTCTTCGTGGCCTCTCGGTATAGGGCAGGACATGTTTGGAATAAGGGTTGTATGACCTGCTTTCTGGAGAAATAGGTCAGATAATTCTTTTCAGGCTCACTTCAGGAGAGAAAGGCAGGAGAAGGTCAAAGCATGACCTTCTTGCTTCTGAGGTTTTCTCAATTACCTTCACCTTAAAACACTCAGTATGCTAAGGTATCATATTGTAGGATAGTGTGTCCTTCGCGATATCAACACCGAAATGGCATAGTCCGCTTTTTAAAGAGATTCATCAGCATTGCCTACAAATTTATTCTTTCACTCAAAAACATGTATTCATCAACTACCATGTGTCAAATGTTGTGCTAAGCACTTAAGACTGCAGAAATAAATGACAGCCAGTGAACTAGGTTTCCTAATAGCACAGGTGACAATAAAAGAGAGAACAGAAAAGAGTTGTTCTACCAAGAGGTACACACATATATTTACATACAGATATACTCACAAGACACAGAATCATACTCAAAGGACAATGATTAGCATCCATGGTGTCATCAATTCAGTCATTTTTTTCCACATTTTTTGGAGCACCTACTATTTGCCAGCCACTGGGAAAACAGAACAGTGAAAAGACAGGCCAGGTCCCTGTCTCTTGCAGAGTTTAAATATATGGCAGAGGAGATAGGCAATGAATAAATTAAATAAGCAGGATAATTTCAGCTTTTGAGAATGCTATGAATGAGGCAATGTGATAGAGAGTGACTGGGTTTGTGCACCGCCTTCGCCAGAGTGGTCAAGGAAGTGACCTCTGAGGGGACAGCATTTCACCAAGATCTGCACGACATGAAAAGGGGCCATTCACGTGCAGAGCTGGAAAAAGACCTTTTGGGCAGAAAAACAGCTTGCCCAAAGGCCCTGGCAGAACCAAATTGGTGAATCCAAAGAACAGAGAGAAGGTCAGTGTGGCCGATGTTTATTCAACAAGTGGAAATGGAATTAGGGACAGGAAAGAATCAGACAAGATAGGGATCTGTAAGTCACAGAAGGGAGTCTGGATTCAATGAATAATAGGAATGTATTGGAGGGTTTTTAAAAGAATGCTATGACCTGATTTACATTTGTTAAATAAGAGAGAGTATTCATATAATCACACTCTAACAAAGTTAAATGCATTCATGAATAATTATTTTATATTATACATAGACTGATGACCATTTTTGAATAATTGTAACTTAAAATATACTAATTCTAGCTAGAAGTTTAATTTTAACATCACTGGGTTAAATGTAATGACTGAGAAGTCATTTGAGGATATTTCAGTGACCTTGAGGTCTATAATGACCATCATTTATTAGGTGTGAGGCAAAAAGGTATCTTTTAATAAATTCTGGCCAAGAAGATGCCAGGCAATGTAAACTCCACTTGAAATTAATGCCCCTCAGCCTAGTGTGCTTTCTGCAAAACAGTCATGCTTGAGCGGGAGCCTTTCTAGCTCATCAAGCTAATTTTGTGATTTTAATTCTGTGCAGCTGAGAATAAGCCAACGGCTCTTCTGTATTTTGCTTTCATGAAAATCCCAGGGTGTTAACTGTGAAGATGCTAACGGACCCAAAGTGTAATACTAGGCATGGCTAGGTTTTCAAGGGATCTTAGCTCACCCCCTCTGTAGGATGAGGTGTCCATATGATGTCATATGGGGACATTAAGAAGCCACCTTCCCTCAAAGGTCCTCTGAGTGAGCCTCAGACTCCTGGCTTCCCCATCATACATTCCTCCTTGGGTGACCAGAACTCTAGTAAAAGACAACTGTTTTATCCTGAAGGAGTAATCCAGTGATACCATTGTCAGTCATGAATACCTTCCAATGTTGGTCTGTTAAAGTATCCAGTTACTGCCTAGCAAAGTCCATATGCACTTTTTGGTAAGTCAGAGGAGAATTCCGGGAAGCCCACACTGTGGCTTTAAGATCACATTCATAAATAAGTAATAGTACATCCAGACAACAGAATATTATTCAGTGCTAACATCAAAGGTGCTATCAAGCCATGAAAGACATGTAGGAATCTTAAGTGCATATTACTAAATAAAGAAGCTAATCTGAGAAAACTACATACTGTATAATTCTGGAAAAGGCAAAACTATGGAGACGGTAAAAAGATGGGAAATTTTCAGGGGTTGGGGAGGGTGGGTAGAGAGGAAAGAACAGGCAGAGCACAAAGGATTCTTGGAGTGGTGAAACTACTCAGTACAATACATGTCATTATGCATTTGTCAAAACTCATAGAATGTACAACACCAAGAGTGAACGCTAATGTAAAATGGACTTTGGGTGATAATGACGTTTCAGTGTAGGTTCATCATTTGTAATAAATGCAACATTGTGGAGCAAGATGTTCATAATGGGGGAGATTGTGCCAGTGTGGGGGTAGGAGGAATATACGGGAACTTTGTACTTCCCCATATATTCCTGTAAACCTAAAACTGCTCTAAAAAATAAAGTCAGCTTTTAGAAATTAAGTGATACACGGCAGAATGAAATAAAATTAGATCTTATTAAAAATGGGGAGCAGGTTTATGTGGAAGATCTCAAGGAGTAATCCCAGGCAGCATGATGGGGATGCCAAAGGATCCAGGGCTCACCGAACAATGGCCAGAACTCGTAGGGAGTGTGTTTCGTGGCCTCCTGGAGACGATGTTTCCAGCCTGAAGATGTCTTTACTAATGGGAACAAATAACTCATACGTAACAATGAGGCATTGATGCCATGTAGTCTTCCAGTGTCTTGAATCCAGAGTAGTCCTGAAGAGTGTGGCCTTTGGAGATAGACCAGCAGATTCAAATCCTACTACGCTACCTGTTAGCTGGGTGATGACCTCAGGCAAGTGGTTTAACCTTTTTGGGCCCTCGATTCCTTGTCTTCAAAATGATTACAATAATAGTCACTGCCTCCCAGGGTTACTGGGATTGTATTAAATGGGATAATTTATGTAAAGCATCTAGCGCAGTGTCAGAACTTGGTAAACCTTCATTCAAAGTTTGTGATGTGACTGAATATAGTCATTATTAGTAGAGCATAGTAGTGTTTGAAACAGTCTAAGCCCTCACAAAATATGTGTTGTTTGATTTATTAATAATAACAAGACTTCAAGTAGGCCATGTTTAATGCCTGCCTTCCATGTCACAGCGAGCAGGCTTTTCTGGGTTTTTA